ACGTTTTTTTTTAAAATGGCGTAAAAAAAAAAAAAAAAAAAAAAAAAATCAGTTCCATTCTTCTTCTTAAGAAGCTCCTGATGAGGTAACGCAGGCAGCAGGCCCTGCTGGCTCCATCCCTGCTGGGATGACTGGCTGCACTGGAGGCTGGGCTGGAAGCCCCAGAGCAGAGATGATGCTGCACTAAAGCACCAGGAGAAGAGAGAGGAAGAGCACGTACTGCAGACAGCACCTTTTTGTGGGGATTTACCTGAGAGGAAATCGAAATGGGCTCTGAAAGCCCAGGCAGGAGAGCCAGGGCAGCTGAGAAGGGCTGGCAGCACAGCCCAGCCTCTGCCCTGCCTGCCGTGCCAGGGCTGGGCTGGGCCCTGAGGGACAGGGCTGGGGGTGCCAGTGGCCAGCAGGGCCAGGGATGGGCACCTCTCCTTGTCCTGGCACCTCTCCTCTCCTGCCACCTCTCCTCTCCTGCCACCTCTCCTCTCCTGCCACCTCTCCTTGTCCTGCCACCTCTCCTCATCCTCCCTCAGCAGGAGCCCCTGAGCCAGCCCAGGTGGGCAGTGGGCACTGCTGGCCAGGGCCAACACCCCGGGCACTGGCATTTTGGCATTTTGGGAGCAGGGACCCTGCAGACGTGGATCCTGGCTCGCTGCAGGCAAACGAGATCTGGGTGTTGAGCAGAAGGTTTGGCTGCACTGGGGAGCTGCTGGGGAACAGAGCTGTGCTCTTCCAGCAGGGCTGCCACTTTGGCAAGGCTTGGTGCCAGTGCCCGTTCAGTTTGCTCCTGGAGGACGTTCAGGGAGCTGCTTCTTGCTGGGGGAGGCTGCAGCACGCTGTGCTGCCACTTCTGAAATCCAAAATTCTTGCACTTCACCTTGATTTTAGTGCTCCAGCCCTGGTGAACTGGTTCAGGGGCTGGCCTGGCCCTGCCCAGTGCTGATCTGGGGCTGGTGAAAAGGCACCAGAGCTCCCAGCCTTCTGTTCCTGGGATATTCACCTCCTGGCACTGCAGCTAAAAGGGAATTTCAGCTGTACAAGGAGATTAGTGCTAAGAGGATATGTAGGCTGCTGCCATGGGAAGGATCTCACCATCCCTTGAGCACTTTTGACATAAAGCCCACTAAAAAAAACCCCTAAATGAGAAGAAAACAGTCTGAGTGCTTCGTGTCTAGATGGCAAATGCCACAAATGCACACGTTGGTGGAGCACGAGCCTGTGCTCTGGCCGGGAGCTGATCTCCTTCCTGCTGCTGTCCTGGCATGAATCCTTCCCTTCCTTCCCTTCCCTTCCCTCTGCTGGAGCCCCCTGGAGCCCCCCAGCCCCTCAGAGAACTCGTTCTGCTCTCTGTGGCCCCTCCCTGGGCACAAAAGCAGGGATGTGTCCCAGGGAGAGTGGAACTGAGGGTTAGGTCCAAGTGAGGCTGCACAATGAGTTCTAGGTGGCTCTGGGGCTCAGGCATTCTTCGTCGCTCTCTCTTTGCTCCTCACGTGCATGAAAGGCTGATTTATTTGCAACTAAATCCATGAAATGTGCTAATACCTGCTCTGGTGTTGATCAGGCTTAATGTAATAACCTCCTCTCGTGTCTGCTTCTTCTGCTGAGCAATCTGAGCACTTAAAACTTTCCTCCTCCTGAGCAGCCAGAGGCCTCCAGAGGCCTTTAAAAATAAACCCAGCACCAGGCAGCCCGAAAGAGGAGCTAGGGAATATTTCTCTGTCCTGTTGGAGATGATCAGATAGTACATACTATTCCTAAGAAATAAATGGAGGGCAGTGGATATTTATATATATATATATAGATATATATATTTTATATTTATAGTGTGGGCTGTGTAAACCAGCCCAGCCCCAGCAGCTCTGTCCCAGCTCACAGAGCTGCAGGGCTCTGTCCCAGCCAGGGAGCTGCAGGGCTCTGTCCCAGCCCAGGAGCTGCAGGGCTCTGTCCCAGCTCACAGAGCTGCAGGGCTCTGTCCCATCCAGGGAGCAGCTCAGGAAACCTTCCCTGCCCTGCAGCAGCTGGGTTCCAGCTGTGCCTGTACCTCATGTGGGACTCTGAGTGTGACCACAAGTGTGACTCTGCGTGGGACCCCGAGTGCCAGCTGGGCACGAGGGAGAGCTGGCAGCCGGGGAGGGGCTGGCAGGGGCAGGGACAGGGACAGGGGCAGGGGCAGGGACAGGGACAGGGGCAGGGGCAGGGGCAGGGGCACTCACCGGGAGCTCCAGCGCCTCGTTGAGCAGCCCGTTGCGCTTGCTGTGCAGGTAGGCGTTGGAGCTGCCCGTCTTGGCCACGCGGATCCGCGCCAGGCGCGCCTTCTGCGGAGACACAGCGGGGACAGGGACACGGGTTAGTGACACGGGGACAGGGACAGGGGACAGGGACAGGGGGTTAGGGACAGGGGGTCAGGGACAGGGGGACAGTGTGGGGACAGTGGGGTCAGGGATGGGAAACAATGGGGTTAAAGATGGGAAACAATGGGGTTAGGGATGGAAACAATGGGGTTAAGGATGGAAACAATGGGGTTAAGGATGGAAACAATGGGGTCAGCGATGGAAACAATGGGGTCAGCAATGGAAACAATGGGGTCAGCGATGGGGGAACCAGAACGGGGTGCTGCAGGCCCCTTTGTGCTTCCCAAAGTTCATTTTTGGCTGGGATGCAGAGCACTGGAGCCTCGTCCTGGCCGTGCTGGGGGTGCAGGGCCATGGGTGCTCTGCAGGTGAGGTGCCTCCATTTCTCACCGTCCCCCCACACCCTCTCTCCAGACCCCTCTCCGTGTCCCAGCTCTGCCCTTGTCCCCTGCTCTGCTCGGGCTGCAGCAGCACAGGGACAGGGGCCCTCGGTGGCCCTGCAGTGGCACTGCTACTTCATCAGCTGTGGCACCTGATAAAATGACTGTCCAAAAATACACCTCTCCATGGGGACAAGACAGGTGATAAAAGCAGTCCAGAATAACCAACAAGAAAAACTAAGACCCTATCTTTTCCTTTTTGATTATTTTGGATAAATCCTTTTAACATTTTCGTTTTTCTTTTCAATTGCTGCCTGCTTCTCTGTCGAGTGATTTGCCTTTTCTCTTTTCTACTGTTAATTTATGACTCAAATGCCATTAAAAGTAAATACATTAAATAGCTGCAGCTATTAAAAAATAATTACATTGTGCTGTAGTTTAAAATGCTGCATAATCCCTTAAATAACATGGAGCTCGTGATTTTCCCTCCTAATTAGAGGTGCTAATGGGTAAACGCTGTAGGAAGAGGAAAGGCAGGAGGCAAATATCTGCAGTGGGTCCAGAGAGTGGAGCCGTTGCAGGAGCTCCATCCCTGTCCAGGTGTGAGCCACTCTGGCCCTCAGTGCTGGAAATATTTGAGGTATTTCTTTACCCTCAAGACCTTGTGCCCATGCACAATTTCTCAGGCAAAGACACACACAGGGTAAAGTTTGCAGCTTTAATTGGGTGACACAGACTATGACCAGTCTGAAAAATAGGTCTTCTTTAGGTCTCCCAGAATGGGGACGTCTGAAATTGGCTTTATTTTCTATACCTCACCTAGATTTCCCTGTCCCATTTTCAGGCTGAGTCTCCTGATCAGTGAGAGAGTGAGATCTCCGTGCTGGGCCGAGGCGCTGCCTGGGACAGGGGCAGGGCACGGGCGGAGAGCACAGCGAGGCATGGAATTGGATCTCCGCTTTTCCCAAACCCTTTCCCAAGCTGCTGCGATGCTCTGGGCCCTGGAAAGGACTGGCCTCAGGCTGTAACCTGGAACAGAAGCCATGGGGAGTGCTGCTGTGGAAGGGGGGCTGTGGGGCAGAGCTGGGATAAACGCTGAGCAGTATTTCCTTTTGCAGGAACACGGCGTTGTCCCTCTGCTCCTGATAATTACCTTTCCATCAGGTGGTTTCTTCTAAACACAAGTATGTGCCTTTGTGTGTCTGTTCCTTACACAGGGATCTCTCTCCTCTAATCAGGAGTGGATTTGGGGTGCAGGGTGGTTTCTCCAGGGATGCTCTGATGGTCACCACCACTCTGTGCCTGACAAAATATCAGCTCCTTGGCTGGAGGAATTGCCAGTGCCCAGCTTACCTCACCTGTAGCAGGGAAGGTTCATCCTCATCTCCAGTTCAGTCGGTTGTTAAAGTGGATTCAGTCTCAGGCTGTTGTAATGAACATTATTCCCTTTGCCTCCAGGCTAGCAGGGGATCAAATATTAATAGCTGTACTCCGTGTGGAGTGGAGATGGTTCTGAGGTCTGTTCCCTTTTCCTTTTGAAACAGGGCCACTTGCTATCTAAATAATTAAGCCCCACAGCTTTTGTAGTTTAGAACAGACGTTGTTATTTTAAAAAATGTCAGTGGGGCAGGACAGAAGTTAATCCTGCTCTCTGACACAAAGGATTGGCTGGGATCGTCACAGCGCCCAACTCCAGGTCCCCATCGTGATTAAATTTGGTAGATATCTTGATTAACTCAGCTAGAGAAGTTAATTAAAATTGGTGCCTAAAATTGGTTTGGCCCTCCAGACAGTTTCCTCCATTGGACTAGAAGCAACTTTGGAACAAAGCTCAGGTTTTTCTGTGACTGTCTGTGTGCAAACGTGAATTCTCTGGAAGCGTCTGTCAGGTGGCACAAGCTCTGCCTGGTCCTTGGGCACCTCTGCTGTGTCTCTGTGGGCTCTGGTGCTTTGATCAAGTCTGACGGTAAAGAAGGGTTTGAGATCTTCCAAATTATGCCAGTTTTTAGCACATGTGAGCAGGTTTTTGTCGTCCCTGTCCTGCAGAGCTCAGCGCTCCTGGCCTGGGCGCAGGAGATGGGCAGGTGTGGTTCTCTGGCCTCTGCTGCAAGCATCATTCTGGGGGGGATGGTTGTCTTCTGCATCCTCTCCCCAAATGTGACAGACTAAAGGTCACCAGGGCCGGGCCTGAGATCACTGTTACTGAAATAACCCCTGCACAGGAGGCTAAAAAAGGAAAAGCAAACGGCACACTGTGTCTGCATGGAGATGGGGAGAGGAGTTGCTAGGAAACCACAGGATCTCAAAATGCATATGACCTAATCTGGAAGATAATTTATATGATGAAAATAATAATACTAATGACAGCCACTTACAGGTTAGAATGATTAATTTGGTTATCTTGGAGCCCACGTGTTCCTCAGAGCAGGATGGAAGGCAGGGCTCAGGAACTTCTGGGCTTTGCTGGTTTTTCAGAAACTGGAGGCTCAGAACGAGCAGGAGGGCAGTGAGGACCTGCACAGGTGGGGAGGGTGCAGCATCCTGGGTGTCTGCACTTCCCAAGGGCACTGGCAGAGGAGGGAGGAGAGCCTGAGTTCATCCTGTTGCTTTTTGGAGAAGTGCAGGGAGCAGGAGCTGCTGGCTGCGAGAAATGCTTACCAGATGGCAGGCTCAGGAAACAGCTAATTATTATTTATTAATGATTTTCATCCAGTTCTTATGGAGATAACACTCACTCTTGATTTATGTGGGATAGAAAACTATTAAGCTACAACCTATGACACGATTCCATATTTGCCAGACAACTTCAGCTTTCCAGACCTTCTGTCCCTGGCAAGCAGGGAGTGCAGCACCCGCGTGTCAGGAACTCTGCAGCCCCTCTGGAGCTTTTCAGCATTATCCCCCTCAGGAAATCCGGGCTCAAAGCACAGCTCTCCTGGTCTGGCTGTGCAGGGCCACCCCCACCCCGTGTCCAGGTGCTTTTGGGTCTCTGCAAACCCTGCACACCTGGGGTGCTCACACGTTAACCAGCTCCCTCTGAGCTGTCCCTGCGAGGCCACAGTCCCTCCTCGTGTCAGCTGTGCTCTGGCCATGTCCATCTCCATCTCCCTTTACTCCTAAAACCACACCACGAGGTTTCCTGCCAGAAAGTGCAGCTACTCAAGATAATTAACCATGTTTTACATGCTAATTCCTCAATAATTAATAGTTTGAGTGTTATTTGAGGCTGAAATGAAGCTGCTCTCCAAAGTCACCAGTGGAGTGGTCTGGATTTGTTTTTTTATTCTCAAAGTGAAATATGAAATATTATTTATGACAGATATATGATTCTCCTGCTTTTGTCTACATCTGTTGTTTGGGGGTTGGATTTAAATCCTGGATGGAAAGGACTTGGTTGATTCTGGAAGATGGGAAAGGTGACAAGCAGATGGCAGAGTTAAACACAGCTCAGCACTGCTACAGGATCTAAGAGGAACTTTTGCTTCTCCTTTTCACCTCTTTTATTTTCTCTAAGAAACAAAGTATGCACATTTGGATTTTACTTCCTCTCAAATCTTGACATTAAATGGCTTTTGAGCCAAGTTCAAATATTCTGTCACTTTTGCTTTGGGGGAGATGTTATAGAGCTGCATATGGAAATTAGGCAGTGTAGAACTCATTATATTCCTATATAATTTGATAGAACCACTTGCAGTCAGACCTTGATCTTATTTTGGGCCTCTTCATTACTTTCCAGAGATGAAAGATTCCCCTCTCCTCCTCTGTGCCTCTCCTTTTAATGCTACCTTACCCTTGGCACCATTAAAGCAACAGAACATCATTTCCAATGAACTTTATCGTTTCATCTTTTCCAGCGCCGAGGAACATCATGTCCAGGCTATTTATAGAACAATGCACAGAATCTGGAGTTTAATGGATCTGGGCCTCCACCAGCCACAGATGTCCTGGCTGATTGACCCTTTGAAGGGTCACACTGTGCAAGACTGGCAGGGTGGTCAGGCAGCCCTGGAGCACGGGGCCTGTCCCCTCCTCTTGGAAACTCCTCTGGTACATCCTCATCTCGAGCTTGACAAGCTCTGCCTCAGATTTAGTGAAGCTCTCACTGCTAAGGGATATTTGTTTCAGGAATTCGTTCTTCTGTTTAGAAAGCTCCTCCTGATTTCCAGCCCGTGTTGTGTGTGTGTATTCATGCACCCAGCCAGGCTCACAGCCAGACCTTGATCGGGTAAGGACTGACCTCATGGACAGCTTTCCTTGATTGAATTATGCTTTACACAGTTGCTGCAGCTTGGCTGAAACTCAAAGCTTCCTCTCTGCTGAGGTTCCCACAGCAGCAGCCCAGCTGAGTGACAAAACACCTCTCTCCCCTTCTCTCTCCCTTCTTGAAATAGCAACAAAAGAAATTCCTGCGTACACTTTTTTATAGTATGAATGCTGGAGCAGGCTTTTAGAGCTTGGGTCAGAATTGCTCCAAGGATGCAGTCAAAGAGGTGCCCAGTAGAGGGAATAATCTGGAATAACTGGAATTGGGGTGTAAATCAGGGTGTCAGTACTTGTCGACAAACTTATTACTTAAAAAAAAAA